CTGCTCCGAGATAATAGGGAAGTTGGACCCGTTATTCTTGGTGGACAGGATGATGGTGGTTACAGACAGTTGTTGGCCACGTTCGCCTAAGAGGCACGTGGGGAAATCCCCAACGGTCATTAACTTGGGCTGGATGCCATTGGGCCATAAAGGCGCTGGATTTGGTTTGTACAATGGTGAGCCAAGTGCTAACCCGACCAAGAACAGGATCCCCCAAGTTATTGCTCTTAAGAGTGATGCCTTAGGATCAGCTCGAATATCGAGGAAAGGTTGTCCCATAAGGGAATTAACTCCCATCCTCGACGCTTAGGGTTGAATCAGTGTGGAGTCGTATTTCGATCAGGGAAACCAAATGATGCCCGAAAAAGTGATTGTTATTTGGTCGGGGAACCTAAAAGTAAACAATCAATATATTTTGGTCGGGGATTGCATGGTCATCAGATCATCGATTTCCCCGCCAGTTCTCCATGGTTGCATCGTTCTGCCTGACAAAGGGGGCGTGTATGTAGCACAAATGATTTGTCTTGAAGGGATTTCCCCGACTGATTTGTTAAGTTCCTGTCTTGATACATATGCTTGTTTGGGAATTTGCATTCGTAGGGAAAACATAGAGTTCCTCCTCGGGTTTGTCTTCCCGTGGTGCCCAGGAAAAAGTGTTGTAAAGATGTCGAGCAAGTAATCGTCAATGAGGGCTTTTGAAATAGCGACAGCGCGTGGTTTCATGCGTGAGAATTTGATGTCAGTGGTGTATCACTACGCATGTCACATGTGGTGGTCATTTAGAGTGCCATCATTACATAGGCAAGCCTATGGGTCTAAGAAATGATGATTCCTTGCATATTACCCCATATGGCGGGGACTAGCTATAAAAGGAGGTGAAGAATTCCACTTAAGTATTTTTCACTTTTGCTCTCCTCTTGCTTCTCCTCCGTTTGCAAGCTGCTCCGTTGCCGCCGTCGCCACCGTAGATTTTTCCAATGTTCATCTTTCCCCAAGTAAGTGATTCCCTTTGAATATGTTAATCTACTTTAGGGTTTTAGATGAACGGATGAAGTTTCCTGCGAAGTTCGTGAATTTCAGTTGAAGATTCATGAGTTTTCCGATGAATTTCATGAATTTCGTATGAAGATTCATGAATTCTGGGTGAAGATCCGTGAACTTTGGATGAACTTCATGAATTTCGTATGGAGATTCATGAGTTCCAAATGGAGACTCATGAACCTCAGATGAGTTTCATATGGGTCTGAGTCGGGGTTCCGCCTTGAAAGTTGTAGTAAATCGCTCTGTCAGGGAAGTCATACAAGGGAGTCGTTTCCTTGCGTAGCCATCAAGGGATGAGTCGAGGACCTACCCTCGAGAAGCTCCTCGCCCTTTCACTTACGGTGGAAGGGTGAATTTGATAATTTTGAATTCATTATTTTCCCTGCTTATCGCGCTCGAACCTAGGAATCTGATGTCCCAGTTTGTTCACGATTCTTCAGACGCGTTTAACATTGTCGAGGAGAGAGAAGGTGATGCTCCCGCTTCCTGATCGATTCTCATTCCGAATAAACACACGAGGATCTGCTCGGATTTCCTGGGCAAGCGTTTCCCCATGTATGAGTTCGCTTTTAAGGAAGCGGGGATGCGCCTGCCTTTTACTGATTTCTAGGCGGGGGTTTTCCAATGGTTAGACCCGGAACCTTCTCAACTCCACCCGAATGCGCTTGCGTTCATGCGGGAATTTGAGATCGTTTATCGATATCTTGAGATTGGCTCTACCTTAACTTTGTTCTTTCGAATCTTCCACCTCCAACGTAGGTGGTCGAAGATCGACAGGCCTGGGTGTCGTTCAAGCAGTTTGAAAAGCTGTTTTGACCGTACTTGGAATATGTCTGGAATTTCAAGGAAAGGTTCTATGTTGTGAAGCCTATTTCCGAGGCGACTGTGGATTCCTTGTACGAAATTTTGGTCAAGATTGATGATGGTCGAGAGGTAACAGAGCTAAAGGCGAAATTTCCCCTCGAATGGCAGTGGAAGCCTTTCGAGCAGAAGCCAGAATTTTACGCATTAAATCTCGAGAAGGTAGACGCCCAGGATATGCTTGCTTATGATAAATTGATAGCCTATGTCAAGAGTTTTTCCCTCACCAAATGTGTGGATGTAAACAACAATTTCATTTTTGACGATGAAGAGGAGCATGTCTATGTTTCTCGACTAATAAACACGAAAGCGCTGCTCGAACGTTCTTCTGACGAAGAGTCCTTGAGACTCCTAGGTAGGGGGCGTGCCCGTAATAAATATTTTTTCTTTTGTTTCATAGACTAATCATTCCCTTTTCGAATTGTAGGTCGAATGGATACATTCGAGGAGCATCTGCTCAAGTTGAGGGGCAAAGTTGGCCAAAAGGCGCTCAAAGGGCGTGTCACCCAGATCCAAGAGCAAGTCAAACTTAGCGTCCATGTCAGTGGTTCCTCTTCCCCTCAAGGTGACCAAGTTTCTCCCCCTGAACAGTCCGCTAAAAGGAAGCGCGGGGAAGGTTCTGAGTTTGTAGGGGAGAGCTTTGAAAAATAGAAAGAATTGAGTGAAAAGAATATAAATATTTTGGTTGGAAGGGTTTTGTAGGGTTTATTTTTCTTCATAACATTAAAAATCCCCTAATTTGAGAAACTCAAAATTTGTATTGAAGGAGAATTTTAGAGGACTTAGATAAATTGTTCAAATTTAATTTTTCTTGTTATTGTATTTCAAAAATTAAAAATACATTAATGATAAATATTATTTTATCATTTTAAACAAATTTTTTATTTCAAAAAATATTAAATAATTTCTATGTTTTTTTATAAATATTTTTAAAAATCCTCCCTTCCCCTTCTCTCCAAACTCTCAAACATAGTTTAAGAGATTTTTGTCCCTTTCAAAAAAAAAAAGATATTATGGTAATTTATGTGAGGCGACAAATATGTTCCCAGCCCCCGTCTTTGAAGTTATATATTTTTAACGATTTTTTTATCAATAATTAAAAAAAAAAGCCTACTAAATTTTTCTAAAAAGTCAAAATAGACCCTACATTATTAGTTTTTTCAAAAATCAAATATAAAATCATACTTGTTTTAACATTTAAGATTTTATACTTGATTTTTTGAAGAAAAAACGATATAACATAATTTTTTCATAAATTCATAATTTTATACCGTATTTTTTTTTAAAAAATAAATATAAATATTGAAATAAAAAAATACAAATTTGATTCTTTTATTTAGGCATATTTAGTCCTCAACCCTTAATTTAATTTAATATTTTGATTGTGTCTTTTAATTAAAAAACGTTACAAGTTAGTCTCTTAGTTTCACTTATGTTATTTTATTTAATCCTTTCTATCAATTTAGGGTCAAAAAAATGTTAAGTTATGGTGACGTGGATATACAACAAAACTCAAGGTCAAATGTGACTCAACATTTATATTATAAAGTAGGATTTTCACCTAAGTTTCTCCTGAGAAACTCAAGTGAAAATCCTAATTTATATTACAAATATTGAATCACATTTGGACCTTGAACTTTGTTTTACATCCACATTACCATAATTTAACCTTTTTTTTTTGTTGCCATAAATTGACGGAAATGACCAAATAATATAATAGAAGTGAAGTTAATGGACCAACTTATAATATTTTTTTAGTTAAGGAACTAAAACTATACATTAAATTAAATTAAGGGACTAGAATTAAGCCCTTTTATTCAAAGAAAAATAGTAAGTGAAATATATGGGCGTGGGGTGCAAGTGAACGGATGCAGATAAATTCCTCCAATACTTTATTTGGGCCAATTTAAAGTCCAATATAATATTTTTAAGCCTTCTATCTGTCTGCCTCCATCTTCTTCTAGAGAACTTCTTAATACACTCTTATATGAGTGAAAAAGTCTCTGAAAATTTCAAAACACCCTTCAAATATGCATATTTAGACAAATCTAATATTTTATTTTCAGAGAATTTTCGAATACACATATCTGAAATAAACCCAATATTTTGTCTTGAGGAAGTTTTTGAATATGCATATCCTAATTAATGAAATGCTAAGAAAATTATAAACAAAATATATCAATTGTATTAATCCTTAATTGTAATATCTAAAATACATTTTCAAAAATATATTATATTACTTGTTTAAGAGATAGAACATTAATATTTTAAAAAAATATTTTGTGATAAATTAGAACAAATAAAATGGAAAAAATAAAACACTTTTAATAAAAAATAATAATATTAATCAAAATTAAAGCTTATCAAAAATGAAATGTAAAAAAATAAAAATAAATAATTGTTGACTATTATTTATAACATACACAAAATATAACATCAATTGAATATAAATAGTTACAAAAAAATATTTATAAGGCTTCAAAGTAAAATATATTTTCAAAAATGTATTATATTACTTGTTTAAGGAATAGAACACTAATATTTTTTAAAAAATTTTTTATGATAATTTAAGATAGAACAAATAAAATGGAAAAAATAAAACACTTTTAATAAAAAATAATAATATTAATAAAAATTAAAGCTTATCAAAAATAAAATATAAAAAAAATAAATAAATAATTGACTATTATTTATAACATACACAGTATATAACATCAATTGAATATAAATAATTACAAATTAATATTTATAAGGTTTCAAAGTAAAAATATATTACAACAAAATTTTTATAATATATAATTAATATAAAATATAAAACATTTTTTCACAAATACTTATAAACATAATATTTCAACATTATTAAAAAATAATTACATAATTTATATTTTAAATAATTAAAATTATAATAAATAATTATTTACGTGAATAAATAAAAAAAATATAAGTAATGTATTTAATAATAAATATCACAAGAAAAAAACAATAATAATAAAAAAAAGTATTAATGATTTATCAGTAATATAATTGATACATCTTAACCTCCTTCCAACGTTTCTCTTTGGCCGGCGTTGATTATACCGTCTTTCTTCTCACCGAATATGCAGGTATTTCCAGTATCCTCAGATCCTTCTCTTCATCTTTATATTCCTGTATTCCTTATACAATTTCCTTTCTTCCTGATTTCGATTTCATATATATTTCTTTTCAAATCATCATTCATGCTAACAAATTTGTGCGTGTAGGCGAGCGATAGGTTTAACATCAATTCCCAGCTTGAGCATCTTCAAGCTAAATATGTTGGAACTGGCCATGCTGATATGAACAGATTGTAGGGTTTCGGTTTTCTCTTTTCTTGTTACTTCAAATTCAATTTTTGTTCTTTTTTTTTATTTGTTTGAATGTGTGTGCAGTGAATGGGCAGTGAACATTCAGCGTGATAGCTATGCGTCATATATTGGGCATTACCCTTTGCTTTCATACTTTTCTATTGCTGAAAATGAATCTATTGGTAGACAACGCTACACTTTTATGCAGGTAATTTGTTCTAACTCAACTTGTTGATTTTTCCTTATATTTGGCTTGTTGGTTTTCTTTGTTCCATTGGTAAAATTGATTAATTGAATTTGAAAGATAATTATTTAAGTCCTCGGAATCAAGTCTTTTTGGCAAGATAAAATAATGTAGTAGAGATAAGGATGTTGCGTTGGATGTGTGGTAAGACTGAACAATATAAGATTATAAATGACATTAGTAGAGAGAGTCTTGGGGTAACACTTATAGTAGAAAGTAGAAAAGATGGTCGAAAATAAACTTAGGTGGTTTTAGCATGTAGAGAGAAGATTGAGTAGATCAGATGGAGAGAAGTCAGACAGCTAGATGTAGAGAAAGACTTAGAAAAACTATAAAAGACGTCATTAAGAAAGATCTCGAGATTATCAATTTGGGTAGAAGCATGGTCTTGGATAGAACATTATGGCGGAAGTTGATCCATGTAGCCAGGAAACAAATCCTCTCCTGCGTTTTTGGTGCTGTCTTTTCTGCTCTGCAATATCTGGCCATTGAATTTAAATCTATTGGTTTAAGTTTCTTTCACCTTTTTCTCTCACCTGTTTATAGATTAATTTAATGGTTTAGATTTGAGCAGAATGGAGAGCAGGAGACATCGAGCAGGAGATGATCCAAATCCGTGTAACCATCCCCACTTAGGGTTAAGGCTTGATTGTTGTTGTATAGTTCAAGTGACACTGGGTTTTGGAATAGTTGAGGTTTGTTGACCGCCTGATTAACCCTTTCTGTAGTAGCATATTGATGCAAAGAGGTCAGTGGTGTTGGGGACTTTGTGAGATTGAAATTGAGCCCGGATAGGTTTAGGTATTGGACATTACATGTGAGGTGTCATTATTGAAGATGTTCACTGTGGTGTATATGCGCAATGGCACATTGTGTATAAATGAACAATGTATAGAAAAATTCACATTTCCACCCCCATTGTTTAGGGGAAAAGTGACCACTGCAAAGTCGTTATGATTGGGAGGGAGTTAGGGAAGCAAAGGCATTATTATTGAGTCAGGTTTGGTTAGTATGGAGGGAAACTCAACACAATTGGAAGGGTTTGATCATCTGTGTACGACCCTGGTCAATTTAGAAACATATCTTGTCATTAACCTACTATAGCAAGTCAATTTAGCGGTGTACTGCTATAACACATGTCAATACGATGTAACCTAGAAATCAACATTTTGTGCTGTTTAGATATTTCACTCTGAGGAGATAGAATAATGATGTGGAATGGCTAGATGGTTAGTATTTTCTCTTTTGAAGCTTAGACAATATTTTTGGCACTTTTTGAAGGAAAGCAGTAAAGTTCATATCAAAACACTGATGCTCTAAGATATCTGTGAATACGCAGGATAATTTTGTAACTGATGAGTTTTCCTCAGTGAGATAAGTAACCTGGTTAGGTTAAGATCGTTCGTTTAACATGATATTTAGCAATAAAGATATAAAATGGATTCCCCCAGACATCAACTTGTAATAGGCTGATTTGTTCATATTCGTTACATGCTCAAGACCAGTGTTGTCAGTAGCGCTGCTATAGCCGGGTGATATCAAAATAGAAGAGAAAGAATTTGGAGTCCGGAATGGTGCTAAAGTCTGTTGCGGTGCTTTTTCCTGTTGTGATTCGTTGCCGCAAACAGGCGATTGGGAGGGTGTTAGTACCCAAACACCAGTCGATTATTTTGAAATAGTAGGTTTAGATATGTTAGGGAGGCAGGCCATGGTTTACTGATAATTGGAGACGTTGAGAGGGATATCATCAAGCGATTTGAGAGAGAATTGGGTCCTTTGTGTTGGGAAGTTTGCTGACATTCAAAGTTCTTCAGCATTCTATCCTTGTGTAATTGAGTTGTATCCTTGTTTCGTTCTCATAAAATACCATATTTCTACCCGCATACATTTGAGAGTTTAAGAAGGGAACAAACGGGCATTTGAGAGTTCATAGGGGATGAGGTTGGTCATAATATACCACCTCTAAAAGAGATTGATGATTAGGTGTTCTTGACTTTTTTACTAATTTTAGTAGTGACTTATGAAGTTGTGAGTTATGAGTTTGTATGACTTTATTATTGACTTCCTTGTGCTTACAACAACAACAGCAACGCCTTATCCCATTAGGTGGGGTCGGCTACATGGATCAACTTTCGCCATAATGTTCTATCAAAGACCATGCTTCTATCTAAATCATTAATTTTGAGATCCTTCTTGATAACTTCTCTTATAGTCTTTTTGGGTCTTCCTCTTCCTTGAATTGTTTGTCTTCTCTCTATCTGGTCTACTCTCCTTACTATAGAGTCTACAGGTTTTCCCTCTACATGCCCAAACCACCTAAGTCTATTTTCCACCATCTTCTCTACAATAGGCGCTACTCCAACACTCTCTCTAATAATTTCATTTCTAATTTTATCCTGTCGAGTCTTACCACACATCCACCGCAACATCCTCATCTCTGCTACACCTATTTTATTCTCGTGTTGGTTCTTAACCGTCCAACATTCTATCCCGTACAAAATCGCAAATCTTACCGTAGTCCGATAAAACTTTCCCTTTAGCTTGAGCGGTACCTTTGTATCACATAAAACACCTAATGTCTTTCTCCATTTCATCCATCCAGCTTGAATACGATGATTTACATCCCCTTCTATTTCTCCATCATTCTGTATTACGGAACCAAGATATTTAAACCGTGTGACTTGAGGGGTAATATGGTCTCCTACTTTCACCTCTAAGTTAGAAACCCTGCTTCTTTTGTTGAACTTACATTCCATATACTCCGACTTACTTTTACTTAGGTGAAAACCATGTGTTTCTAAAGCTCTTCTCCAAGTCTCCAACCTCTTATTTAACTCCTCCCTCGACTCTCCAAGGAAGACTATATCATCTGCAAAAAGCATGCATCTAGGCGCTATCTCTTGGATTTGTTCTGTGAGTACATCCAAAATTAAGGTAATAAGGTAAGGGGCTTAGGGTTGACCTTTGATGCAAACCCATTGTGATGGGAAAATCGTCTGCCTCTCCACCTTGTGTCCTAACACTAGACGATACCCTTTCATACATATCTTAGATAGCTCGAATATATGCAACCCTAACCCCTTTCTTCTCTAGAGCTTTCCATAGAATCTCTCTAGGCACTCTATCATACGCCTTCTCCAAGTCAATAAAAATCAAGTGCAAGTCTTGTTGGTCCATTCGATATTGCTCAATCACCCGTAATAGATAAATCGCTTCCATGGTCGACCTTCCCGGCATAAAACCAAATTGATTCTCAGTAACTTGAGTCTCTTTTCTTAATCTCCGTTCAATCACTCTTTCCCATTATTTCATGGTATGACTCATAAGCTTGACTCCCCTATAATTTGCACAATTTTGTATATCCTCTTTGTTCTTATAGATAAGAACTAAAGTGCTTCTCCTTCATTCATTCAGCATGTGTTTTGACTTCATAATTTCAATAAAGAGTTTGGTGAGTCACTCAATACCTCTATCTCCAAGAATTTTCCACACTTCAATAGGTATGTTGTCTGACCCCACCGCCTTACCGTTACTCATTCTTTTCAACGCTTCCTTTACCTCCTGTTTCTGAATTCGACGATAGTAACTATAATTCCGATCCTCTTCTCTTATGTCTAGTCTGCTAGAGTCATACCCATATCCATCATTAAATAAGTTGTGGAAATACGCCTTCCATCTATCCTTTATTACTTTTTTCTGCACTAAGACTTTGTCTTCTTCATCCTTAGCACACTTTACTTGATCTAAATCTCTAGTCTTTCTTTCTCTTCCCTTAGCAAGCCTATATATAGATCTTTCTCCCTCCTTGGTTCCTAGAGATTGGTATAGTCCATCAAAAGCTTGGGTTCTTGCTTCACTCACCGCCCTTTTGGTTTCATTTTTAGCTATCTTGTACTTTTCCCAAGTTTCAGAATCTCTACACCTAGACCACTCTTTAAAACAATCCTTTTTTACTTTAACTTTGCTCTGGACACTTTCATTCCACCACCACGATTCTTTACCCCTAGGTCCAAAACCTCTAGATTCACCCAACGTCTCTTTAGCCACTTTCCTAATCTCTTGGGTCATCTTGTTCCACATATCATTTGCACTTCCTTGTGATTGTCCAAACCAACCCTCCCATATCTTTTGTTGGAAAATTCCTTGTTTCTCTCCCTTCAAATGCCACCATTTGATCCTTGGTGCTACCAAATGACTTCTTCTCTTTGCCCTTTCTTTAATTCTTACATCCATAACCAAAACTCTATATTGGGTAGTCAAGCTCCCGGGATAACTTTACAGTTCAAGCAATACTTCCTACCAGACTTCCTGATAAGAAAGAAATCTATCTGAGAACATGTCCTTCCACTTTTATATGTGATAAGATGTTCATCTCTTTTCCTAAACCATGTATTGGCTATAGAAAGATCTAAAGCCGACGAAAACTCCAAGATGGATTTACCCTCCGCATTCACCTCTCCTAGGCCAAGACCCCATGCACACTCTCAAAATCTCTTGCCACGTTACCTACATGTCTATTGAGATCTCCTCCTAGTAAAATCTTCTCTCCTTGGGGTATATCCTGAAGTACCCTTCTAAATCCTCCCAAAATTTTACCTTAAGGTGTTCTGCTAACCCAACCTGAGGTGCGTACCCACTAATAACATTAAAGGTGTCTTGTCCCACTACAAATTTCAAGGCTATGATTCGATCTCCTACTCTTATTACATCCACAACATCCTTCTTCCACTCCTTATCCACAATAATCTCCACCCCATTTCTTGATCTAATTTTTCCAGCATACCAAAGCTTAAATCCCGAGTTGTCTAATTCTTTTGTTTTTTCACCTGTCCACTTAGTTTTTTGTAGGCACATAAAATTGATCTTCCTCCTAACCATAACATCCACTATTTCCATAGATTTTCCAGTGAGTGTGCCTATATTCCATGAACCAAAGCGAATCCTCCTTTCATGAACTTGCTTCTTTACCCACACCCGTTCACGAAAATGTGGGAACTCTTGCTTATTTTTCACTAAATCCGGGCGGCGATACAGCGGTCCTTGCTCTTTTGATATTGTACTCGAGCCATACAGCGCGTTGTTTACGGGTAACGACCTAGCATTCACATTATTACTTAGTTGATCTATATCATAGAGATTCGACAAAATTTTACGTTGACTGTCGAAAGCCTAACACAACCCTCTCTTTTTATCCTTACGCTTATTATGAATGTAAATTTACATTAGTATTTCAAGTGTGATTTAAGACTTTTTTGTCTTATTCATGCTATTTATATGCACATATGAGTTTTGTATAATTTTACTTACAATTGCACGATTTTACTTCCCCTTTCCAATTTTGCATAAAATCTGGATTTTAACTACCTTAAGAACTTTACATGAAATAAGTTCCTTCACATTATAAACATCCATGTATGGAATAAAGTGACAGGAGTTGATTCATGTAACAGACTCTCATTTAGTGGGATAAGGTTTAGTTGTTGTTGTATGGAATAAAATGGCGACATCTCAATATTTGAGGAATTAATTTGGTGTCAAATATTTTGTGGATTAATGCAATGACACCCTAATCTTTGAAGGACCAAAAGGGTATATTCAGTTCTGTTTTGAAATGACAAATCAGAGTTGTTATTTGTTAGTGGGAGGAGTTGAGTTGAATGTTTGACATCCTTATCACTCCAACTGCTTATGTTTCTCTCCGTACCATGTTATAACTCTTGTGTTTATTACATTATTTGATGGATTGAAATATGAATAAACATTCTTGATACTTTATGATCTCTCCTGGCACTTTATATTTTTATTTGACAAATTCTACCTTTTGTGCAGAAAATGCTCCTGCCTTGCGGTCTGCCTCCCGAAAGAGAAGAAGACTAGAACTATCGTTGGGATTACAAAAGGTTCATCATAGGAGAATTTAAAGGCTTTTGACCATTGGTTGTACTGTATAATCTGAATGAAGAAACAAATGTTTTTGCTTAGAGATTGTTCCATCATTTTTCTTCAGTTTGTAGTTGCTTAAGATTAGCTGTTATTATGGTATGGAGCTTTGGTACAATATGTCTATAAATTTAACCTTCTTGTTTACTGAATGATCTTTTGTAATCCACACGTGGAAGAGAAGGCATTTAAGATATTTAGCATTTGCTCAAAACATTTAATTTACATAACCATGCATGCTTGACCTCTCGGCTCTCATTGTATCTGGTAACAGCTACAATCAAATCATCGATAAATAGAGTCATATTGCTCAAAATTACTTCTCAACTAAATTATTAAACATCAACTTGAGATATAAACAGTGTATATAGTAGGAATATTTGTTCGTTTTTTCCCCAAACGATTATAAAAATGAGTTAATGTAAAGGCTTATCACCACCTCCAACTTAATCAAAACCATGAGTGAATAATATATGAAGTCATGAACACTACATTCTCATCCAATCATCAATCATCATCTCAAGCCTTCAATAAATTTTATGCAATCACCGCAAGATAATATCACTTGTTTCACTTGTTATAGTTAGGTGTAAAAATAAAGGTAAAATATCTTTTTTAGTCTTTTAACTTTACCTAGAGGTCTATTTTGATACCTGTTCTGGATTGGGCCGGGCTGGCCCAAGAGTAACAATAAAGGCCCAATCCAAACGAACCTGCTAGGAGTCACGCCCACCTAAGGACCATAGCTTGCCCGACATACGTCATTGGGCGACACCCCCGTCCTCGTGCTGTCCAGCTCGACCTCAGCTCGAGCGCTCCTTCGACAGCGTACACGGTCCATTACACTCTCAACGGGACTTCGAAAAGACCGCGTCCCTGTCCGCCCGCACTTCACGCAGAACGTCCAGGAAGGGGACCACGTGCGGGTCCCCACTACGCACGTAGAACCTGGCAGTTCCTCCATTGGGCCAAACTTGCCCGATCCAATGAAGGAACTTTGGCCCAGCGCTGGGGGCTATAAATACCCTCTGTTTCCAGAGGGTCAGGTATTCATTCTATCACATATACTCACACTTTGCCTGCTCGTACTCTTACTCACTTCAGCATCGGAGTGCCTTGCAGGTACCCCCCCCACCTCGTTCAAAACTTCAGCTCGGAGCCAGCCGTGACGGTCCAAGTCTGATCAGGTTAGATCAGTAGCGCCGTCTGTGGGAAACTAGCTTCCCCGTCTTGCAAACTCAGAGACCAAAGCTCAAATTCAACTACCGCTGTCATGGCTGATCAAGCCCGAGATGAGCAGAACGTCCGCGTCGCCGACACCAACAACGGCACCGCGGACAAAAACGGACATCTTGATAACGCCGGTAACCCCGACCATAACACCATTCCTACGACAACTGCTCCCGGAAGTTCCACCTTTCGAGACGGAGCTACTGCATCATCTTCCTCGGTTCCTCCACCGCTCTAAGACGACCCGACGGCCCTCGCACACTACCGAGCTGCCCGGTTCCAGGAAGTCCCCGTCCCCTCCAGGGCGGATGCCACAACACAAGCGCTGTTCGCAGCGATTAATCAAACGAACTATCTCATCTTCGCCCAAGGAGAGAGACTAAAGGCGCTTGAAGACGAGCGAAGACCCCCGAGGAGGCATCGGAGACCCCATACTCCCCCTCCTCGGGTGACTGAAGCTCGACACCCATCTCCCCCGCGGAGACATTACAGGGAGACCTCTCGAAGCCAATCTCCCCGGCCAAAACAGAAACGGCCTCATCTGGAGAGGCAGCCCATCATTCAGGCCGGAGAACCTAGTCGTGACCCGGCGAGACGAGAAAGAAGATACTCCGGAGACAGACGTGTAAAATTCACCCACCGAGCATCCCACTCGAGAGAGACTCAGCACGACCTGGACCGTCGTGCCAGACAGTATTACAGGTCCCCATCTCTGTCTCCGGAGAGAAGCGACGAGGACGACCCCTGCGGTCCCCTGTCGCAGGCTATTATGGAAGCACCCATCCCCCCGGGCATGGAGAAGCCCCCACACTTAAAGGAATACGATGGAGTCGCGGACACGGTCGACCACATAGACGGGTTCGAGGCTATGCTTCATTACCACAATGTTGGGGCCCCCATCAAGTGCCGTCTATTCCCCACGACTCTTAGGAAGGCGGCAATGGACTGGTACAGAGGGCTCGCCTCGGGCTCAATCACCTCGTGGCGGAACCTGAAGAACCAGTTCATCAGTTCCTTCATGGCTTCTCGGCGCCACCCGAAGACCGAGGCGGCTCTCGAGGCCATCATCCAAAGACAAGATGAAACCTTGAGAGAGTTCATCAATCGCTTCAACCGGGAAGCCATACAGGTCCCCTGTGCGGACCATATGAAGAGATATTTGCTGGAGAGAGGGCTCCTCCCCGGCACGGAATTCAGAAAGGCTGTGGGTATCGAGCCACCTCGGACATTCGATGCCCTCCTCGAAAAAGCCCGAGCATACATGGACTACGAGGAGAGGGAAGCGACCAACAGAGCCCGAGATTCCAGAACTCGTGGTCCCAACAGCAGCTCGCGCCAAGAAGCTCCTCCTCGACGAACTGGGGATAAAAGGAAGGAAGACAGACCCCGGGAAGTCCGGGAACAAAGAGGACCCTCGGGGCGTTTCACCGAGTACACTCCGCTCATAGCTTCCCGCAAGCGCATTCTGGCGGAGTATGCCAGCACTGATTTCAAGGACGGCGGTGTCAAACGTCCCCGACCTGCTCCTGCCAAGCCCGGAGCAGACAAAAACAAATACTGTCAGTACCATAGGAGCCATGGTCACCTGACTGAGGATTGCGTCCACCTCAAGGACGCCATTGAAACCCTCATCAAGGGAGGGAGGCTCGCGCAGTATCGAAGAAGCGACGCTCCCCGTCGTGACGCCTAAGAAACCAGGGAGCCAGAAGAAGACGCCCGACCATCTGACGAGTCGGTGCCCATCCAAACTGCCTTCTCCGTAACCAGGCCCGAGGACTTCGACTTCCCCGAGCACCTGCAGGAGCCACTTACAACGCACAGCAGGTGGGAATACTTCCCCTCTGCCCTGGTCATCAACGGCGGCGGGTTCAACGACTTGACCATCAATTCAGCCAAGAGGAAGCTGGACGAGCTGGTCGACGCGGCTCCCCCGCAAACAGTGACGTTCGAAAGGGTGAGGGGCAGGTCAGAGCCCATCACCTTCTACCTGGAAGAACTCCCCGGCGGAGCCCCGAACGCGGTCATCCCCATACTGATAAGGGCAAGAATGGCCAATTTTGATGTACATCGCATCCTGGTTGACGAAGGGAGTTTCGTCGACGTCATGTACAACCAACTGTTCCGAACCCTACAGCTGGACGACTCACATCTCTCGCCATATGTGGGTTCGGACTTACAAGGTTTCAACGGCTCGACCTCCAAGCCTTGGGGGTATGTCGAGCTTCTGGTTACGTTCGGCGAAGGGACGACTACAAGACAAGTCAAAGTACGCTTCCTCGTCATCGACTGCCCGTCTCTGTACAACTGCATCTTGGGGAGACCAACACTGGCAGAGCTGACAGCGGTACCCTCGACCGTCCACCTGAAGATGAAGTTCTACACCAAGAGGGCACGAGTAGCTACTATCCAAGGAGACTTAGCCGCTGGCCGAAGGTGCTTCAACGCCGCTTCTAAGGGACGCGACACTGTCGACATAGGGATCAGGCCCGCCAAAAGGACGCGACAGGAGCCCGACAAGCAAGAGTCCCCAAAGGAAGAAGTCCAGAGAGCTCCACCAAAGGTCGACTCAATAGCGCTGGACACTCGTTTCGACCAGGACGAACCTCCCAGCGGCGAGCAAGCCCCACTCCGCCCAATACCGGATGGGGATTTCGAGCTCGTCCACCTCGGCACCGACCCGACCAAGGGAGTAAAGATTGGCAAAGATCTCCCCGACCTGGCAAGGAAGAAAATCAAGGCCTGCTTGCGCGAGAATGCTGATCTGTTCGCCTGGAGCGCCGCAGAGATGCCCGGGCTCGACCCTGAGGTCGCCTGTCACCACCTCGCCATTGATCCAGCCGCTAGGGCCGTAGTACAATGTAGGCGTAGGCAGTCTCCAGAAAAAACAGAGGCTGCTGAGAAAGCTGTAAAAGACCTCCTAGAGGCAAATTTTATTTCTGAAGCCCGGTATTCCACCTGGCTGTCAAATGTTGTACTCGTTAAAAAGAATAATGGAAAATGGAGGATGTGCGTTGATTATATCGATCTCAATCGGGCTTGCCCGAAAGATGCTTTTCCCTTGCCTAACATAGACATGCTGGTCGACAACTCGGTCGGCTACAAAACGTTGTCGTTCTTGGACGCCTACTCGGGATATAACCAAATCCCGATGGCCCTGGGCGACAAACACTGCACGGCATTCATGACCAGCTCGGGCAACTATTACTACAACGTAATGCCCTTCGGACTGAAAAATGCCGGGGCAACTTACCAACGCATGATGAACAAGGTTTTTCACAAACAGATAGGCGACATGCTCGAGGTGTATATGGACGACATGATCGTCAAGTCCTGAGCAGACACTGACCATGCAGCACACCTCAAGACAGTCTTTGCCCAAGCAAGGCAATGTAAAATGAGGTTCAACCCCGAGAAATGTACATTCGGGGTTAAGGCAGGAAAATTCCTCAGATTCTACCTAACAGAACGAGGAATTGAAGCCAACCCCGACAAATGCCGTGCGTTCTCCGACCTCCCGACACCGACGTCGAAGAAGTCAATACAAATCATGAACGGCATGCTCACATCATTATCCCGCTTCGTCGCGAGGTCCGCTCAGCACGCCCTCCCCTTCTTCAAACTCATTCGAAAGGAAGCCGCCTTCGAATGGAACGAGGAGTGCGAGCAGGCGCTACGCCACCTAAAGTAAAGTCTATCTCAGCCGCCTG